TACACTGGCCTCATTGCACCTCCCCAGAGAGAGACAATCAGAATCCTGAGCATATGACAGAGTCATCACATTTTTAGAGTGACATGTGGCCATATCATTTACTGTCAGTACCAAGATATTTCTGAGAGTGAAAGAGAGGGCGCCTGGGTGGCTCAGTGTATTAAGCCTCTGCCTTTGGCTCACGTCATGATCTCAGGGTCCTGGGATTGAGCCCCACACTGGGCTCTCTGCTCAGTGGGGAGCCTGCTTCCCTTCTCTCTCTCTGCCTGCCTCCCTGACTACTTGTGATCTCTCTCTCTGTATCAAATAAATAAATAACATCTTTGAAAAAAAAATAAGAGAGAGAAAGTAGAAGAGAACATTACATTACCAATAATTACACAAGGACAATGGGTGTATCCTGCTCTGAGTGAGTGGTCACATTATTTATAAGGCTCTGAGTGATCCAGCTCCTAACTAAGTGCTCAGCTTCCTCTCTCTGTTCATGTCTTGTTGTTCGTATGTTTTTTAAATACTGTTTTGTATGGACACATTCCTTTACTGATTTAACAATTTTGGAATTGAACTAAGTTCTTCTTTGGAAAGTCAAATTCTGACAGTTACTTCCAATAGGTCGCTTTTTTTTTTTTTTTTTTAACCAAAAGCCACCAAAATTGAAAAGGAAAATATTTGGTTACATTCATTTAGTATTTTGATCCAATATTCCTAAAAGAGAGTCAGAAAGATAAGGTTAAAGTAGCATTTCTCTAGCCATGTTCTAGAGAATGCTGTTAGTAGGATCCTAAAAAATTCTGTACCCCAAGAAGATTCAGGTTAAATGACACTGAAGTAGTCTCCTTGGTGTAGACCTTCTCAGGACCACCAACTGTGACCCTTCAAGGGGAAGGTGAGGTATGTTTTATTTCCTCCATTTACGAGATCCTGAAAAGGAGTAAATATTTCTTCTGTTCAATGGAAGAATTTTGAGGAAATGCTGGTCATTTAAGGGGCCAACAGTTTTATTTGTTAGTTACTTTGCTTATTTCCATAGTTAGTACTTTAATACCTACCACCCTGAAGTAGTGGTTTAGGCTAAGTTGAAGGTAATTACTTCCTTTGTCAATTTACTTCTGTCCCTGGGTATTGTTATGATTAGGTTTGAGGATATTTAAGTGTGGTGGTAAGACTTGGGGGTATAAAAATCATTGGTGTATGGTGTGTTTATGGGTAGGAATTTCTCCAATTCCATAAGCTACCTCTGAATGTCTGAAGAATTTATAGCACTCTCCTCAAACGGTCTTTAATAACCAGCTTCCTCTTTCCCATTGACAACATATTGTAAATGGACTGAAACCAACCTGACCATTTCCTTTCTGGGTAATCAGGGGATAGGCCATGCTCTCCCTCAGTTTGGTAAGACAATCAGGATATGAAAAAGAAATCCTGGCAAAGTTATTGAGATAAATCCTCAAACGAAACTCAGATAAAGTATATGTAAACTTAGTAACTGCATACCCTTCTGGAAAAAAAAAAAAAGAATTTGAAAGGATCCAATAAGGATTTCAAGACCAGTCATTAAAGACAATTTAAAAAAATGGAAATTTAGAAACATTGTTTCCCAGAGTTTGATTTCTGAAAAAGATATAATTTAAACATGAAACTCTTTTGATAAGTGGGCAAGTTATTTCACTCTCTCTGCCTTGGAGTTTTAAAATAATGTTCCACATTTCATCTGATAAACAGCAAAACCTGAAAAGGATCCCAAGGGAAAATTTCCTATTGCTAGGTTTATTTTTTTCCCTTTGTTTTATGTCCCCAAAACTTAGCAAAGTTTTACTATCATTCCTCTTTAATTGTAAAATTGTAAGTATATACTTCTGAAAGAAAAGTTAAACATCAACTGCTAAAATTACAATCATCCAAATAACAAATTAAAAATGCTTGGTTTTATGCAGAAAGATGCCAAATGTTGCTACCTTAGCTGGAGAATAAATATATTCTTCATTTCTTCGTTTGTTTCTGGAAGAATGTATTTTGTAGTGGCTAAGACTTCAGACTTCAAGTCAGACAGACTTAAGTCCTAGTTGTATCATGATATTGTGACACTGGGCAAATTTCTAGAGATCTCTAGGCCTCATCTGTAAAATGGAATGCTAATAGTGACTCACTTATGAGCATCTTGTAAGGAGTCAGTGAACAGAAATATAAAAAACCTTTGGCCCAAGTGTTGGCATATAGTAACTTCTCAATAAATGTCACTATTAAACAGAGATTTAGTATATACAAAAGCTTTCCATTAAGCGTAGTTTTGCGTTGCCTGGGTATTTACCAAGACTCTAGGTTTCCAGTCATTTAGCATTTAGCATGGCTGCTATATGCAGTGACCATTATGTCTGGGCTATCACACATCTTTTGTATAAGTCACTGTAGATCAAGAACCAAGCTTTTACTAGCTTTCCCTTTGGTTCTTTCTCTAGCTTGTGCTTTCCTTTTTATCTTCTCCTTCCTGAGATAGCCATTCTGAAAATTCTACACATGCTGCTGGTGAAAGAAAATCTATAGAGCAAGGAGTCTAAATAAAGTCAGTGCCTATCAGCGTTTCCAGGAATCAAAGGTTGATGCCCTCACTATCACCACGCCCTACCACCATTCTGGAAAAGTAAACCCGTGTAAATTGCCACTACTAGTCAGCATTAACACCTACCTCCACAGGCCCTGTATTAATCGGCTAGGGCTGCCATAACAAAAGACCAAGGGTACTGGAAATGACAGGGATCTACTTTCTCACAGTTCTAGAGGCTGGAATCCAGATCAAGGTGCCATGAGAGTTAGCTGGTTTCCGAGAGAGCTCTCTTCCTGCCTTGTCCACAGCTGCTTCCTCACTACGTCTTCACATGACCTTTCATCTGCATGCGTGTGAAGAAACAGCTCTTCCATAGCTCTTCTTCTTAAAAGGACACAGTCCTGTTGGATTAGGACCCCACCCTGATAATCTCACTTAACCGTTGTTACCTCTTTAAAGGCTCTCTTTCCAAATGCAGTCACCATTAGGGTTAGGGCTCAACATTTGAGTTGGGAATGGGAAGACAATTCAGCCCATAACAGCACTGCTTTATCTCAACACTGTGAAGACACTTGAAGTCCCCTTCATCCCCCTTTGTTTAGACATTGTCTTTGCAGGAAAAGCAGGAAAGAAAAAGGGTCATGCAGGGAAGAAAAAGGGGATGGTAGATGTCTGAAGGGGTTCAAATAATATATTTATTTTTTGCACTTTTTCAAATGAAATATCGGGATTTTTTTTTTTGAAATTCAAAACATAATACTTATTCTCATCTGCTCCCTTTCTCAATAACGAACATGTATAGCACCTTCCTGTTTCTGTCACAACATGGATCAACTCCTACCTGGCAATATTTAGTTGCTGAATGTTTCATTTTTCTTATTAAAAATGTAAGTATCTTGAGAGTGGATCTCTGTCCAGTTATTTTTTTACTCATGGTAGTCAGCAAATGTTTTGCAGAAAGTGATCTTTTATTAATTCAATACATTTTGGTTCAGTACCTACCCATAAGGTAGTCTGCCACTTCTTGATTAGAATTTCCTAATAAATATATTAATAAACTTCTAAATTAAAAATATTAGATAAATGAATAAAATAAATTTATAAAAATACAGATCAAGAGAATTATTTATTTTAAACATTTATTTACTTATTTGTTTGTTTATTTATTTATTTATTTATTTATTTTAGAGAGCAGTAGAGAGAAAGATAGTGGAGGGAGAAGGACAGAGGGACAGGGAGAATCTTAAGGATAATCTTAAGGAGACAGAGAATCTTAAGCAGGATCCATACCTAGTGTGGAGCTCTGTCTCACCACCCTGAGATCATGACCTGAGCTGAAATCAAGAGTCAGACACTTAACCAACTGAGCCACCCAGGTGCCCCAAGAAATATTTATTTATCATTAATCATTATATTATTCTAACCCAACCTTTTAGATATTTGTAAAGCACATTGAAAATTTATCATCATTCTTGCCATACACATGAGCAAAGATATGGTCAGGAATATTTTTCTTTTGGTTCTACATTACACAGAATATGTGGAGGTGTATGTCCTCAAAAGTGATGTTTCCCACAATGAAGGAAGACATAAAATCAAATTGCCCAGCTCTATTATTGGCACAGTTTCATCGATGGCAATGTTAGGACAGTTTATAGGAATTCTGCCTACCACCAGATAGCAGGTTCCTTATAGGGCAGGAATTAGCTTATTTCCCTTAATATATTTAGACCCCATGGCCCCAGAATGTTGTCTTAAATTTAGCAGTTGTTTGAGAGAAATATTTATAGAGTAGAATCAAGTAAAATTGAATGTATTAAAAATGTTGTTTAATATGGGACGAGCTCTGAATAACTTCTCAATTCATTTTAACAGATTACCTCTACTATCAATCAGCATAACCCTGTGGTGTCCAATACAGCAACCACGAGCAATATCCTTGAAACGAGCAAAAGTCCTTGAAATATGGCTGCTCCAAACTGAGAGGAAGGTGCCATACATGTAAAACAGTCACTGAATTTCAAAAATTTAGTACAAATGGAGTAAAATATTTCATTAACATTTAAAAATATTGATTATATACTGAAATGATCATATCTCTGACACACCAGGTTAAGTAAAATATTACTACAGTTAACTTCATGTGTTTCTTCTGCCTTTTTTCAATAGGACTACTAGAAAAATTTTAAATTTCTTAAGTGACTGGCATTGCATTTTCATTGTAGAGTGTGGCAGTATGACCTCTTTTGTGAGGCAGGTTAGGTTACTTTGCCTAGAATTATACTATTCTAAGCACAGTTACAATTACTACAATCTGCTGAAATTTTTTTAAACTTTATTTCCGCAGAAATCCTGAGGTTTTTAAAAGCTCATTCAGAGAAAAAAAAAAAAAAAGAGGTAGAAATGCCTGATGTGGTCCAAACAACATATTTATTTATTTTTTTTTAACACATATTTAAAACAACTTGTTGAGTACTTTGGAAATTCACAGTGTGACACGGAATAGTTCAATTATTGTCATGTGGCTTCTTGACAATTTGTTCCTTAAACTGTACTCAGTTGTGGGCCACATAAATTATAAATTATTGTGGTTTAGTAGACTTCATACAGCATGAGTAAATTAAAAACTAGATACTTTACAATAACCAGCTTGAAAAAAAAAAGAAATTTGGTTTCCTGTGGCAGCAGTAGTTTTGAGGAATTAAAAAAAATAATGCCACAAATAAACAATTTTTATTTAGCAAGCTTTTAAAGATTGTCTTGGTAAACTGACACCCCATGAGTGGCATTTCAAGGTTAGTGCGAGCACTTGGGTGAGAATAAAATTAGGATCTTTTCTATTTGTTCATTAGAGCTGGCGATCTTCAAAACTCTCTTTTATCTATTTATTAATTATATTCCCATATATGTTAGCTTTCTTTGTGATTCCTGATATCAACACTCTGAAAACCACTGACCTCCGTTAACCTCAATCATGAGATAAGTCATCCACATTAAGAAGTTCACACAACACATTTTCATGTTGGAGGCAGAAGTCATTCCCTTCCACCATCCGTGCTAACGGGCCACCCATTCCAATTAAATGCAATAATCGAGAAGCATTTCCAAGTGGCAGAGTATCTCGCTTCGGCGGAGATGTAATGAAATCTCTTCTTTTGTGTCATTTGAAACAGGATAGATGGAGTGAGAAGGTGTCCTGGTTAAAAACGGAGGTTAAGTCTGAGAAGAAAACGAGCGTGAAGACGCTGGTGAGACAAACCAGCATGTGCAGGGACCGCTTCAAAGCAGATCAGTCGTGAGAAGTGAAGAGAAAAAGGAGGCACACTTGTCTCTTTAAAAACTGAAGGAGAAAAATGTCAGTTCTCAGAGATGAGTTCTTTCACCCCAGACAGCTGTGAGCAATTTGTCAACTGCTCTGAAGTGTGGCGGCGTTAACCCTTGGGTCGCAGCCACGTGGCTGGGGTACTGGCTTCCGTGAGGCTGAAGACACAAGAGGACACTTCTGCCTCAAGGACATCCTAGCTGTCATTGCGGTCTACAGACTATCCAAACAGTAGAGCAGACACTCTTGCAAATTGAATGAAGTCGATTAATAGGCACCCTGGGTGCGTGAAAAAATGAAACCAGTAAACACGACCAGATGAAAGTGTCCACGTGGCTTTGTGGAAGAATCACAGCCATTGGCCAAAGTTCTGGGTCCTGGCTCCACAATGTAACTTGTCATCTTAGACAACTCATTTAACTTCTGTGAACCTCAGTTTCTCTTCTGTAAAACCAAAGGAGCACATTTCGGATTTAGAGAAGTCACACTACTTCAAGTTTCTTGACTGTATAAGGTCTTTAATACATGTTAGTATCTCTCTATAAAATTAAACCATAGCAATAAATACAATAATGAAACAGAAAAGAGATTGTTTTGCATTTATTCTTACAATATTCGTGACTTGATATAAAACCAATGTAATAATCTAGAAACTTTCCTGGCTCCTATTTTCCTCCTTGTGTTTCTTTTTATGCCCAACAGACAAGAAACGGGCTGACAGAGCTGACTTTGGTGTCCAAGTGCCCTGAGTAACAGTCTTCCTCACTCCCCATCTGGTTCTCCGCTTTGTTATTCTTACATTTTTTCTGACCTGGAGTGATGGTGCCAGCCCCTGCTCTCGCCCTAAGGGATAGGGGAATGACTATCCCACTCTTCCTTCTCCTCTGAGGGCTGGACCATTCCAGGCGCCCGCAGAAGGATCATTCTCCAACCTCCACTGGGAACGCCCCCACCCTGTGGGAATGCCCCTGTGATCGAGGTCTGGCCTTGGTCACAGACAAGCTTTACCACACCCTTAGAATGCCAGGCTTCCCCTAAACTCCATGTCTGATATTGCTTCTGTTGTCCCTGGGTCCATCCTAGCTCCTGCTTCCTCCCTCTCTCTCCAAGGTAGCCAATCTTAAAAACAAAGCTCCAGAATACGTAATCAGGATACATAGCAGCTTTACTTCGATTTTTCTTATAATTCTAAACTTAAGGTTGACTGAATCTTGGAGAGTGGGGGTGAGAATTCAGAAACTTTGATGCAAAGCAACTGAGAGTGAAGGCAAGAATGGGTGGTGTTTAGGATTTTTAGGGGAGACAACGGAAAAGGCTTATTTTGAAGCAGGAAGTGAATGCAGACCTATTTCTCATCTTTATTCTTGCTCCTCAGGTCTGAACTGTGCTTAAACCTCCCTCTGGATCAACTTATGTTATTCACCTGGATTTGCTCCATGTGGTACAAGGCGAATGAAGGAAATTTCCATCCCTTCAACATAGTAATTTTTTTAAAATGCTATTCTTTATAACTCTGAGTAGTATGTCTAATAAATTTGCCAGCAGTGAGGAATGCGCCTGTGAGGTAACAAAGATACGCATCTAATGGAATCTAGTGACATAGTACAAAGGCGTAATTGTAGTTAATTTATGAGTTCAATGTCCTTTCTCTTTTCAGCCCGGAGAAACAGTTTCAGCATATCCTGAGCTTCTCCCAGCGAATGTAATTCTCCTGCATCTGCTTTGAAAATGACAACAAAATGCTGGAAATTCACCTTTGCTTTCGGGCAATATGTAGAAAGTAGATGTGCTGGTTAATCCAAGAATCAATAGGCATGTCCTGTATGTATATGTGACAAAATGAGGACAAAACCAGCCTGAAGTACCTTGCACGTTCTTTGATCCTAACAGACCGGTAAAATTTCTGAGCTCTGTAATAGCTATTCAATGCCTACCTTCCCACTGTGGTGTTGGTAGGTGTATACATCGGCTGACCAGACAACTCATTGCGGGATGTCAAAAAACAACAGCAATATTGTAGTTTTGTCTGTGCTTTTTGAAAAAAGGGGAATGTCATTATCTTCACAAGACATATGGTAATGCTTCTCAAGCTACCCGAGGAGAACAAAGCCGGCTGCTGATTAAATACCAAAGTTCCTTTTTTTTTTTTTTTTTTTTTGGTAAGTATACAAATACACTAAAATTACAGCTTTATTAGCCTGGTCATTACATTCTGTTAAAATACCTCTCTACTTAAATCTAAAGTTGATTTATTCTTATTAAATAGTTTTAACTCTGGCAGGATAAAAAGAGGGGGCATTTGGGAGTTTTTGCAGTTACAACTTTGCTTTTTATTTCGAACAAGTTCCCTAATTATCTGCTCGATGTTTGCCAAAGTTCCTTTTAATTAATACTCATGGAAGGTGTGGAACAAAATCAAAAATTTAAAAGAGTTTTTGCTTTTTTTTTCTACCTTTGTTTATTTTTTCCCATGGTCTAAATTCTTACTCTCCACTTCCACCCCCAGCCCCCACCAGCCACTTTATGATTTCTTTCAGAAAAGATACATGAATAACTGGATAGAAGCTGGTTGGGGTGGGGGGATTGGTCAAAGAAGATTAAAGCAAACTATGTTAACTTGTTTCATTTTAATCTCATGATCTGAAACCTCCCAAGAGTATTCAATTGGACTCTGCAATTTCTTGGATGTTTTCCTAGAACGTTGTCTCCCACCTCCCGAAAAAACATTTCTTACCTTCCCTTTCTCTTCAAATCCTCCTCCTCTTCTCCTGGTAGGAGCAGCTAGCACCCGTGTGTCCTCCACAGAAGCCCTCTGGGGAAGCCTCCCTACCCTTCCTAGCACCTCACCTTCAGACTCCCTGCGGGGTCTGCTTCTTCCCTCCTGACCAGCCTCTTGGGAAAGCCAGCCCCTCCCCTTGTGTCAGGTTCTGTCCTGCACCTTCCCAAGGTGGTACTCCCTCCCTCCCTCATCTTTCCCTCCCTTCACAAGCCTCTCTTTCTAGCAGCTTCTTCTCCTCAGCATAGGAATGGATCCTAATATCCCTCACTCAAAGGAACAAAACAAAACAGGTTCTTAGACCCATTTCACCTCTTCATTCCTCCTCTCCTCTTCCTCTCAGTTGCTGATAAGAAATCAGAAGTTGATAAGCATGATGGCCCCCCACATTTCCTTTCTCTCATCGCTCCACTTTTCGTCTCTTCTCACATCCCTCAGCGTCTTCTTACTTCCTTCAGTCTGCTGGTATACTCACTACCACACTGAATCTGGTCAAGTCATTTTAGATGTCCTTGTTGCCAATGCAAATAATGGTTATCATAAATCTGTAATTTTGATCCTATTTCCTCTCCCCCTGGCCCAGGCTGTCCCTGTCCTTTGAACACATCAGGGATCTCCTGCCTCCTCCCTCTGCCAGGGCTGCCCATCACCCCAAATAGCTGCAGGCGTTACCACCATGACTGCTCATGTAAAATGACCCACCCAGGGGTGCCTGTGTGGCTCAGTCGGTGAATCATCTGCCTTTGGCTCAGGTCATGATCTCTGGGTCCGAGGATCGAGCCCCCCGGGGGCCTCTGTTCGGTGGGGAATCTGTCTCTCCCTCTGTCCCTCCACCCTGAGTGCACTCTCTCTCTCTTGCTCTCTCTCAAAAAGATAAATAAAATCTTCAAAAAATAAAATAAGATGATTCACCCACATTGTGCTCTCCTCATGCCCTTTATGGTGTTCATTTTTCTTTATAATCCTCAAGACTCCATTGCTTATTTTCTGCCTCTTCTCTCTGTCCACTTGGACAGAGGTTTCATTCACTCTCAGATCTCTGCACCTAGTCCTGTGCCTGACACACCGTGAGTACCAAGAAAGGTCTGTTGAATGGTACGTTTCAGGCCCACCTCTACAGTCTTAATGTGGATGAAGTCCTTAAATCCTTATAAAATCCCAGTGAGGTAAGGACTACTGCTACTCACATTTTAAGTCAGGAATCAGAAGCACCTCTCAGGTTCCAGGGTACCTCTCTGTCTTCATCTCATCCACCTCCTGGCAGTATTGGACACTCCTCCTCCTGAAGGCCACATGCTTTCAAGAGAGTTTTCTTCTTGCTGTTTGACCTCTCTTTCTCTCTTCCCTTTTCCCTCTCCCTGGCTGAGGTCACCATTCCCAGGAGTATGCTGATGAACGCTACTCTGTACCTCCCACCATGGCATTTCCTGTGAACTCTGTGCTCACAGACCCAACTGCCAGCTCAATGTCATTAATCACCTAGACCTCAACTCCAACATGTTCAGTGCAATCAAATCAGGCCCAGTAAACTCTCTCACCCTCAATATGTGGCTTCCCCATCCACCTAGGTTCTCAGGTTAGATCCCCAGCAGCAATCTTGATGTCTCCCTGTCTCTCATCCCCTTGCTTCCATATTCAATCATCTTTCTATCCCCTAGATACCAAGTCACCTTTCATCTTGTGCCCAAATTACTACACAACCTTCCAACTCTGTCCTGCTCCCACTCTTATGCCTCTAAACCATTCTCACTAGGGAACCAGCAAGAGGCTTTCTTAAGATGTAAATTGTATTCTGTTACCTTTCACCATAAAAGTCTTTCACGGAGCATAAAATCTAAACCCTGCATGCTTTCTCTTTGCTTCATAGAGCTCATTAAAAATTGAAATTATTTTATTTATTTTGATTTCCTTCTCATTTGTTTGCTTAGTTCCCCACTAACATATAACCCACGAGGGAAAGAAACATGCTTTATTTACCACTGAGTGCCCAGAACTCATCCCATTCATAGTAGGGAGGCTCAGTAAATGTCTCCTGATGGAATAATGCAATATTTCAGAATGCTATGTTTAGGCAGGAAGCACCTCCCACATTTGAATTTAAAAGTTTATACTGTATTTATCGGTTTGCTATAATTATCGGTGTCAAGTTAACATCGTTAGTGAGAAGATAGGCAAGTGTGTATGGTCTCACCCAGCCAGGGTAGTCCTGGTTACATAAACCAAGCGCATATATTTTTCAAACAGGAAAATATTGATTATCGGAATTTAGATAATGTATTTGTCTGCCACTACTTTTGTATACGTGATAAAGAGTGCAAAAAGACCCACAAGGGCCAAATTAAACACAAATGTCCACATGGAGAGACAGCAATCTATTAAGAAGTACCAACGCCCATGTGTGGAAGTGCACGTAGAAACGCACACAGAATTGAGGAAAAACTGTATTTGAATGAAATTCAAAATGGCAAGCAACAGATTCAACTTCAGACTGGGACACTGGGATTCTGAAGAAAACAGCATTCACGAAGAGGAAGCTGATTCACAAAATGGGGATCCACCACTGCTCAGAAACACTGATAAGTTAGAAAGGAAATTGGATGCATATTGGATATTTCATGCCTACTCATCTGCACAGATAGTAATATAATAGGTAATGGTGTCCTTGACC